ATATGGTATACTAAATAGTGGTAGGTACTAAGGAAAATAATACAGCAGAAAAGGGGTTAGAAAATATGAAAGAAAAGGGCTACGGAATACATATTGAGAAGGTAACATCTGGGTCAAGACCTGAAAGAATGGAGCCAACCATGGAAATATCAAAAGGAAGAACAATCTAGGTAGAAAGATTAGCAAGCACAAATGCTCTGATGTAGAAGCATGACAGTATGTTTGAGGAACAGCAAGGAGGTCAGTGTGGGTAGAGAAAAAGGAAAAGGAGTAGAAGACGAAGTAAGATAATTAGGGTATGGGGAGGGGAGTCAAATTATGTGGGGCCTCATGGGTCATTTGTAAGGAATTTGGCTTTCCCTTTACTCTGAGTGAGAAGAAAAGCCATTGAAGAATTCAGAATGGAAGAGTGTAAGATGTGACATATTTCAATAGTATCACTTTGGCTGTTTTACTGAGATAAGACCAAAGGGAAAAGACAGTGGAAGCAGAAAGACCAGTCAGGAAACTACTGTTATAATCCAGCAAGAGCTAGTGGTGGCTTGGATCAATGTAGTGGCAAAGCAGAGTGTAATAAGTGGTTATATTCTGTATATCCAACAGGATTTGCCAAAGAGATGGGAGAGGCATAAAACCAAAATAAAGCAACTACAGAAGTAGGATGAAAACCAGGCAAGTAAGGTGTCCTATAAGCCAAGCGAAGAAAAATTTCATGAAGAAGAGAGTGATCAACAATCTTAATCAAATAAAGGACTGATGAAACTGATCAGCAACTATAGAGCTGAAAACCTGATTAAAGTGTGTTCCAGACAAAAAGGAAAAATTGAGATTTTATACAGACGTCTTAAAAGTGTTTTCGCTGTAAGGGGTGGGGGGAGAAATGAGGCAGTGTCTGGAGAAGGAAGTAGAGAGAGGTCTTTTTTTTTTTAAGATGGGAGAAAATATTATGGGCTAGTGGGAATGATCTAAAAATAGAGGAAAATGGGAGCAAGTTCAGTTGCACCAATATGGATACGTAGGCGCAGATGGGGCATGTCCTTGGACTTAGAAAGCAGGACGTCTGGCTTGGTGAGTGGGAACCTCTGTGTAACATGCGACCAAAGAGCAATTTAAAAATGAATGATGTTGAGAAGGGCAAGAAGATTTTTGTTCAAAAGTGTGCCTGGTGCCATACTATGGGAAAGGGAGGCAAGCACAAGACTGGGCCAAATCTCCATGGTCTATTTGGGTGAAAGAAAGGTCGGATCCCTAAATTTTCTGCCAATAAGAACAAAGGCATCACCTGGGGAGTGACGGAGTATTTGGAAAATCCCAAGAAGTATATCCCTGGAACAAAAAATGATCTTCACTGGCATTAAGAGGAGTGCAGAAAGGGCAGACTTGGTAGCTTATCTCAAAAAAAGCTACTAATGAGTAATAGGTGGCTACTGCCTTATTACAAGCAACGTCTTATGAAATTTTTTATTTGTACCATATTTAAATTGATCTCATACATCAGAAATCAGATCATGAACAGCTGGTAAAACATTTCTTTTGGGCAGTTCTGATTTAAATAAGATTGGCATGTGGTTAAATTAATATAATCAGCATTTTGAAACTTGATGGTAATTTTGGTTCAGCAAGTGCTATCATTGTTTTCCCCTTCTAAAAATATGATTGGCCTTGATTCATAATGTTTAACTTTTCAGAGAGATGGTAGATGCCATCAAAAACCCTGTAGGGGATTGGTTTTATACTTAGATTTATACAACTGGTGTATTAATATGTTTAAATACTGAGGAAATCCCTTTTCTATTTCTTAGACCAGCAAGACTTGCTTGTATTTCAAGTTGTGCTCATTAGCAAGATATGCTAGCAGTGTCCATTTTATCATTTTGGTCCTAACTATGCCAATTCAATTAAAATTCCCTACCGAAACTGTTGCCTTTATCTAAAGAGTTGCCTTTTATTTAATAAAAGGCATTTCAGTGTGATTTATGTATAATATCAAATAAAGAACACTTAACACTTCTCACATTTTATAGATGATCTCTAGGGTCAGATGCTTTTAAAATTCAGCATGAGCCCTAGTCAGTTTGGCTCAGTGGAAAGAGTGTCAGCCCTCAGATTGAAGGGTCCCTGGTCCAAATCCAGTCAAGGGCATGTACCTCAGTTCCAGGCTTGATCCTCCGCTTGGGGAGGGCGTGTACAGGAGGCAACCAATCGATGTGTCTCTTTCACATAGATCAGTGGTTCTCAACCTTCCTAATGCTGCGAACCTTTTTTTTTTTTTTAATATATTTATTGATTTTTTACAGAGAGGAAGGGAGAGGGATAGAGAGTTAGAAACATTGATGAGAGAGAAGCATCGATCAGCTGCCTCCTGCACATCCCCTACCGGGGATGTGCCCACAACCAAGGTACATGCCCTTGACCGGAATCGAACCTGGGACCCTTCAGTCCCCAGGCTGACGCTCTATCCACTGAGCCAAACCAGCTAGGCATAATGCTGCAAACCTTTAATACAGTTCCTCATGTTGTGGTGACCCCCAACCATAAAATTATTTTCGTTGCTACTTCATAGCTGTAATTTTGCTACTGTTATGAATCGTAATGTAAATATCTGATATGCAGGATGTATTTTCATTGTTACAAATTAAACATAATTAAAGCATAGTGATTAATCACAAAAACAATATGTAATTATATATGTGTTTTCCGATGGTCTTAGGTGACCCCTGTGAAAGGGTCGTTTGACCCCCAAAGGGGTCGAGACCCACAGGTTGAGAACCGCTGACATAGATGTTTCTTTCTCTCTGTCTCTCCCCCTCCCTTCCACTGTCTCTAAAAAAAAAAAAAAAAAAAAAAAAAAAAGTCAATGGAAAAATACCCTCGGGTGAGGATTAACATAAAAAATTTTCAACATGACAATATATAGTAGTCTGACTTAAAGAATTCATAAGCAAAGTTTGCTAAGTTATAATTCAGGATTGTCTTGAACCAGTTATTCAAAAACAACTATAGAATTACTGTATATATTTGTGATTGGTAATGGTGCTGTTGTCAACTTACTAGAAGGATTAAAGTAGAGAATAGATTATCAACACAAAATTGTGAATTTTGTGATCATAAGGCTTAAGATAATTTTAAAAAATCATAGATCAAGAAATAATTAAAAGAGAGGGGAAATGACACAGAAGAAAGAGGGAGAATTGCTATAGCAACGAGGAGAAAACTAGTATATAAGTGGGTGAATTGGCCTTAGCTAGGAGTACAGTGAGTTCACCTCTCATAGAAGAGAGAACAGAGCACATGGACACAGATGTTCTCCTCTGATTGCTTCAATTTCCTCAGTGAACTAGAAAGTAGAGGTGCTAGAAGTGCTAGAGGTTTAAGGAGAAAGGAGAGTGTATCAGTAGTTGCCTAGAGTATGGACCAGTGAATGGACTGAGTAGCATTAAGGACTCTTGGAGATTAGGGATTATGAATTGAAAGTAAAGCCACAGTAAGTATGGTTATGTTTTTTCCCCCTCTTTGTATGTTGAAACGTATAGGTACAAGGAAAAAATTGAGCACTATATACAAGGCTATGATTATCATGATGACTAAGAATTTAAGCTGGGTAAGGAAAGTCAGACATCAGAAGGATCGGGAACAGTGAAAATAAAACAGGTTTAAAAGACTTAAGATCCCAATAGGCTCAAAGATTTGTAGGAGTAATAGAAATTGTGATATGAAAGGTAAGAGGTGGCAGAGAGTGCAAACTGTGAAGTTGAAATGATGGAGGAATTGAGGTTTGAATAAAGACAAGATCAAGAAGTAAGTAGTGAGGTAGGGTAAAGGGCAAAATTTACTGGAGAAGAGGAATTCCAATGTTTGAAGACACCAGTGTACTGAAAGAATTATCCACATGAACACTGAAATCACAAGCAGTATTGAAGTGAAGGCAGTGAATAATTCTTCATTTCTGTACATAATGTGAGCAGAGTTACTGACTGTCTTTATTGTGGACTATCTTTTCAAGCAAGCTTGTGTAGCAAACAGCCTTAGAAAATGGAGAATGTCTCTCTCCAAATCAAAGGGTAGGTTTACTCTTAGAAAATATTATCTTCCTCCACTTCAAGGGCAGACATGCTTAGTGTCCACTATCAAAGATTCAAGTTCCCTAAGGTTGTGGTTCCTCTGCTATCATTCAATCTACTGTGTATGCAGGTATCACATGGCCCTTTTCAAGTCACACTTTGGAAACTGGGACTTGAGGACCCAGTGTAAGCAAATGCTTTTACTTTGGCTACTGCTTTTGCTGCTAGTAATAAAGTCCTTTGTTTCTGGCCCAGAAATCTCTCCTCTTCTGCCAACGTCCATGAAACTGTGATAGTTAACTTATTAGCTTGCAAGTACGATAAAATCTCAGACCCTTGAAAGTTTTTCATAGAATCTCCAATGAATGGAAGGTGGGAATAAAAGATTACTGCAACAGGATGGGTAGAAGGTGGTATAGTTTAATAACATGAGATAAAGTTTGGAGATGTTTTAGAAGAGATAATGATCTGGAAAAAGCAATGAGAAGAGAAGCAAGGGAAGACCTCCAGGATCAATGTTATAAAGAAAGCATGAGAGGCAATGTTACAGAAGAGGTTGAAGATAAAGAGAAATTTCCTGATGACTGACCTTGAGCTCCAGGGACATTATGAAAGATTTTCAGGAGACAGAGAGGAGTGGGTTTTGGGGTCAAATCTGGATACACATGGTAAGAGATTCATGACTCTTGGGCTTCTTATGGTGACTTACATGAACAAGAAAAAAGGAGCGTGATGAAATTAGTTGTGATTAGTCTTAATCAGATTAAGTTAGTCTACGTGTTTTTACATCCTTCCTCCCTCTTTTACCCACCCAATACTACTATAGAATGCTTCATTTCTTACTAAACAAAACATCATTTTAGAAAATTTGTAACATACACATTTTTTTAAATGTAAATGGCAAAATTGTTATTTAAATAGAGGCAAATGTTAACTTACTTGAATTAGATCTAAAATGCCAAGTTCACTTTCTGAAGAATCCACACAGAAGACAAAATATAACGTTGCATAATGTCTATAAATTAGTTTGTTGTCAGATCCTCCAATTAATCTAAATGACAAAACAAAACAATTGGAAAATTATAAGAACAAAATGAAAAACATTTTCATTAGCTCAAGCAAACTGATAATTTACTTTAAAACATTTTATAAAATAAAAGGTAACATTTACTGGCATAGCATTCAAGTGATCTTGTATCAGAGACTGAGTAAATTAAGGTGGTTGTTTTCTTAAAAAATGTCAAGTAAAAGATGTTGCTGCTTCATTTTAATTCATTCACTCATTAAACTATCTACTGAGTATATACTGTGTGTCAGACACGGATAGTGGATAAGGAGCAATAAACAAACATTATCAGAGTGGAAAGCACTACATAGAGAATCAAAATAAGATGATACCATATTGATGGGTTCATTACTTCAGATTAGATGTTAAGAGTGATATTTAGGCCAAGATCTAATAATAATGAGGCAGCAATGACAGAATTTAGAGAAGAGCATTTCAGGCAGAGTAACAACTAATAAAAAGGCCATTTCAACAAGAACAAAGTATGGATGTTCAGGGAAGAGAAAGGCGGTCTATAGACAAAGAAAGATTAGTAAGCAATGAGGTCAGAAAGAGGGCAGAAATCAGATGACAGGACATTTGAAAGTGCTTACTAAATTTAATTACATAAGTCACAAGCTTAAGACTGATTAGAAATGAGGGGAGAAAAAAAAAGAATGACATTTCTTCTTAAGTTGGACAGATTTCCCAACAAAATCTCCAAAAACACATTTTGTTTTGAAATATAAATGCAAAACAACAAAAATTGAGCTAAGAGATATTCAATTCTTTCATCCAATGTTTTTACTTATATTTGTTAGAATTACAGCATTTTATAAATAATCTTTCCAAACATCTTACATTTTTCTAAGTACAGTTTAACTATCATAGTTAAGTTTACAATAATTAGTTTGTTCATCTTCTCAAAAGACCCTCTAACACTAACATAAAAGCTAACCGAACACTCAAAAAAGGGAAAATGGTATATATTACTCAGTAAAATAACACTGAAACCCTAGCCAGTTTGGCTCAGTGGATAGAGCATCAGCCCATGGACTGAAGAGTGGTGGGTTCAATTTTGGTCAAGGGCACATACCTCAGTTGCAGGCTCGATCCCTGGTCCCGGTCAGGCAACCAATGGATGTGACTCTCCCACATCGATGTTTCTCTCTCTCTGTCTCTCCCCCTCCCTTCCACTCTCTCTAAAAATTCAATGAAAAAATATCCTTGGGATGAGGATTAACAAAAAAATAAAATAAAATGGGTAAATAAATTTAAAAAGTAATACTGAATTTATAAGTTCTATAGAATCAATTTATCTTTTGTTCTCTAATAGCAAAAGGAGGAATAATTTTTGACAAAAATTTTTTAACTATGCTAGATGTTTATAGAAAAGATTCAATTAGAAAATATGTATACTTTAAAGATTCTCTGACATTATTTTTATAGGTTACTAGAGGCCCGATGCATGAAGATTCATGCAAGAATAGGCCTTCCTTCCCCTGGCTGCTGGTACCACCTTCACTCTGGCCGGAGCGGCCTTTCTGCCTTGGTTCCGGCCCAAAGCTGCCTTTCTGCCTTCCCCCGCTGCCCAGAGGCCAGGAGTGGCTGGGGTGATGTGGAAAGCCTGCGTTGTTGCCATGGCGCAAGCGTCCTGCCCCGCCCCCAGCCGCTCAGTGCCTGCATATGCAAATTAACCTGCCATCTTTGTTGGGTTAATTTGCATACTCACTCCTGATTGGCTGGTGGGCGTCGCAAAGGTACAGCAATTTGCATCTTTCTCTTTTATTAGTGTAGATTATTGCAATTGTTCCACGAAAGACACAAAAAGAGCACAAGCAGCAGGTTTTGCTTCATCAGAAATCAGCAATTTAGCAGTTGTCTTAAACTTCTGTTTGGCTGTTTTTAAGAAAAGACCAAACTTTTGGTGTTATTAAATGGCTATTAATGTTGTTAAAAATGGCTATGAATGTTATTAAAAGAAAGCAAAGATATTAATATGGCAAGTATATATTTATCTTTAAAAATATAATTTCATCTTTAAACTACAGTACAATACAGATAAATACTGATACAAATTCTTATATGGAATGCAATACACCATATAAAACCACAGAATTTTAGAAATCTTCTTAGTCCAAATACCAGATAAAAACTGCGATAGAAGATTTTAAGTTACCTGACCAAAAAAGCCAGCGTGTTAGTGACAAAACTAGGACTAAACCAGATGTGTATTCGCATCTCTGATGCAATATTTGCTATCTACTTTTTATAAGGTTGGAAAAGAATAATCACAAAGTCAAGCCATAATTTATAGTTGAAACAGTGCCTGATTAGATCAATCAAGTTTCTGCACGTCTATCATATGCAGTGCACTATGGTGGGTTTTAGTTTCTTATGGGATAAGAGATTAAGAGACTGATATGACAGAAAGTAATAGTGATGGCAAAGACATTAAATTATAAAGGTGTAAGAGAAATAAAAAAATACAATTAAAATATAAAAACAGAAACCAGGTATACCTGTCTCAACTATTAAATTAACAGCCATAAGTTAATAGCAAAATTTACAAATATTTATCAATTTAAGTGCAGCATGATATAACCTTTTATGAAATAAAACTTTCTACATGGTAAAAAGTAATTATGTTCAGATAAGAATGACTTCTCTATTATCCTATTTTTCATAATATGCATTATATACCTTAAAATACTAAAGTGTAGGCTTCTTTGACTAAACCTGTGATTATTTACAGTGGGACTCGTTAAAGTTCAGTTTTTGAATTGTCAATGAGGAAATTTCTTAATCTTATTAAGAAATCAATTATAGCCCTAACCAGTTTGGCTCAGTGGAAAAGCGAGGCCTGCAGACTGAAGGGTCCCAGGTTCAATTCCGGTCCAGGGCATGTACCTTGGTTGCGGGCACAACCCCAGTAGGGGGTGTGCAGGAGGCAGCTGATCAATGTTTCTCTCTCATTGATGTTTCTAACTCTCTATCCCTCTCACTTCCTCTCTGTAAAAAATCAATAAAATATATTTTTAAAAAAATCAATGATATAAACATGGGGGAACATTTATAAAACTATTTGAGAGCACATTATTTTCATGAACCCCATTAATTTAAAAGTATTTATAATAGTTGGCAAGTTAATTATAAGTAATTTTATTTTTTAAAGTTATTTTTGTTGCAGTATGTGTGACATGTAACACTACAAAGTATAAGTAATTCTTAGTTTTTTATTTAAAATAGAAAAATATATTAGCTGAATTCTAATCTATATACAGAAATGCCTATACATATACACATAGACACAGATTTAAAAAGCAGACTTCAGTCTTGTTTGTAATAATAAAATAAAGTATGTAATCTAAAATTTAATGAACAGATCTATTCACTCTAAGGCAGTGGTTCTCAACCTTCCTAATGCCGCGACCCTTTAATACAGTTCCTCATGTTGTGGTGACCCCCAATTTCATTGTTACAAATTGAACATAATTAAAGCACAGTGATTAATCACAAAAACAATATGTAATTATATATGTGTTTTCCGATGGTCTTAGGCAACCCCTGTGAAAGGGTAGTTCGACCCCCAAAGGGATAGTGACCCACAGGTTGAGAACCGCTGCTCTAAGGAATAGCCTGTAGTCATTACAAAGAATGAAGTTGCTCTAGATATGTTTATAAGGCAAAGCTTTTCAAATTACTAAGTGAAAACAAGAAATATGCAAACTAGCATACATAGTTTGATCTTAAGATCACACTTTTATATGTTAGTCAATGCAAAATTAATTTTCTAGAATGACACACAAGAAATTGGGAAGGAGGACTAAAATTCGGAGAGACTCTAATTTACATTTTACATTTTATACTTCCTTATAATGTTCAAATTTTTACCATATACATATATTGCCTTATATAAAATCCTATATAATAAAGATGTAATATGGAAATGGTTGTTACACCGTGAAGCGTTAACGACCGACCTTATAAGTACCAGATCAGGGATCACAGGAGGGTGGGGCAGCGAGATACAAGCGGGCAGAGAGCTACAGGAGGGGGCAGGGCAGAAAGCTATGAGGGGAGGGGCGAGGGGGTGGAGGGAGCAACAGGAGGGCGGGGCAGCGGGTGGAGAGCTACAGGAGGGGGCAGGGCAGCAAGTTATGAGGGGGGCGGGGGAAGCTACAGGAGGGCGGGGCAGCGAGCAGAGAGCTACTGGAGGGCGGCAGCAAGCTACTAGCACATGGATTCATGTGCAGGGCTACTAGTACTTTTATAAAATTCTTAAAAAGAACAAACAAGATTGTATATCTTTAAAAAATTTTTTTAAGTATATTTTTATTGATTTCAGAGAAAAAGAGAGAGATAGAAACATCAATGATGAGAGAGAATCATTGACCGGCTGCCTCCTGCATACCCCACATGGGGGACTAAGCCTGCAAACCAGGCAAGTGCCCTGACCGGGAATTCAACCGTGATCTCCTGGTTCATAGGTTGACGCTCAATCACTGAGCCATGCCAGTCAGGCTAAAAAATTCTTTAAGTTAGATTTATAGCTAACATAGGTGGCAATTAATTCACCTGATCAAATTAATTAAAATTAAAAAACTTTTACCATAAACAGATTAAACAGTATATATTCTAAACATACAAAGATTAGAATTGTCTATGAAATGCTTTACTTACAATCCTCCTTCTAAGAAATTACAAACATTTTCATCTCTCTTAGATACCAAATGGAATGTCTCCCTGATGATTTGCTGTTGTGTATCTTCACTCTGAGAAAGAATAATTCATATATGTTAGGATTGGATTTGTAGGTTTAACAGCATTTAAAATGTTTAAAAATAGGTTTCTGGTTAAGATGGTGGAGTAGTAAACGCTGTGTTCATCTCCTCCCACGACCACATCAAAATTACAAAGAAACTATAGGAAAACCATCATTGAGAACCTTCTGAAGACTAGCTAAGGATATACTGAAGTGCCATAACTAAGGATATACTGAAGAAGCCACATGGAGTCAAGGGGGTGGGGGGTGAAGATGCCAAATGGGCTGGTCCCACACCAACATGTGGTGGCTAAAAATCGAGAGGGATATCTTGGCTGCTTAGGTGCCACCTGAGAAGTGAGGGGTCCCAGCCCCACACTAGGCTCCCCAGACCAGGATTCCAGGGTTGGGAAGAGAAGTCCCCATAACTTCTGACTATAAAAACCAGAGGGATTGTAACTGAGTGAGATGGAGGGTTGCTGGAGTTCCAAGCATTTGTCTTAAAGGGCTGGCACACAGACTTACTTGCTGACAGATTTACTCGCTGTGGGGAGGCAGCTCAAAAGGTTCCAGGGACATACGGAGCAGACTGATTTATCTGGCTTCAGAATGAGGGCTGGAGGGGCAGCTTTTGCCCAGACAGAAGTGCTGGCAGAGAACACTGTTCCTTTGTTGATCCCTCCCTCAACCCAGCCTGCACTCGCAGGTGGGTGCTGCATCTGAGCCTCCATCCACCTAGCTAACAGAGTTAACCCAACCCTGGTGATTCCCTGAGACCCCACCTCACCCAACTTGCAAGTACACCCAAGCTGCTTCCAGTGGCTTTTCCATACAAACAGCCTGTCTTTGGCTCATGCTTCAGACTTTCCCAAAATCTCTTAAAGGTTTACAAATCCAAAGAAGCAGCATCTGTCCTTACTGTGCCCTGTTTCTCTTGCAAAGCAGCCCCAAGCCTGACAACAGTGGTAGCCAGCCTCAGTCACCTTAGCCTCTCCCAGGCACCTCCAAACCCAGTCAAGGGGCAACTATCTGTAGATCACTTTGCAGCTCATAGCAAGTAGCCCAGATAGGGCAAAGGCAACAGCTAACTTTGGCCTGCACCAGAGTCCCTCCCAACAACTTTAAAGGTTGGGATACACTCGAAGTGCAGACTTTGCAGGCGTCAGAATAAGCCTGACAACAGTGGTAGCCAGCCTCAGTCACCTTAGCCTCTCCCAGGCACCTCCAAACCCAGTCAAGGGGCAACTATCTGTAGATCACTTTGCAGCTCATAGCAAGTAGCCCAGATAGGGCAAAGGCAACAGCTAACTTTGGCCTGCACCAGAGTCCCTCCCAACAACTTTAAAGGTTGGGATACACTCGAAGTGCAGACTTTGCAGGCGTCAGAATCCTAAAGCAAATCCTGCTCTGTAGGGCCAACTCTGCACAACAGCTCCTCCACTGTGGTCAGAGCCAGTCCTCACAACCAATCAGCCTGAGGGTCAATCTCTCCCATTGATGTGCCAACAGTAATCAAGGCTCAACTACAACAGGAGTGACACACAACCTACACGACTGGCTCACTGGGCCCCTCATGACACTTAGTCCATAAGGCCACTCTATCAAGACCAAGAAACATGGCAGCTCTACCTAATACACAGAAACAAACACAGGGGAATAAAGAAACATGTCCCAAATGAAAGAACAGAACACAACTCCAGAAATAGAACTAAACAAAATGGAGATAAACAATCTACCAGATGCAGAGTTCAAAACACTGGTTATAAGTATGCTCAATTATCTCAGTGAGATCAACAAAGACAGGAAACATAAAAATGGAGAAAGAAAAGATAAAAAAGAACAGTCAGAAATGAATAATACAATAACTGAAATGAAGAAAACATTAGAGAAAATCAACAGTATATTAGATGAATCAAAGGACTGAATCAGCAATTTGGAAGATAAGGCAGGAGAAAACACCTAATCAGTATAGCAGAAAGAACCCAAAAACAAAATAAAGCAAAAAAACAAGTATTGTTTCAGGGGCCTCTGGGACAACTTAAAGCACACCAACATTGGCATCATAGGAGTACCAGGAGGAGAAGAGAGAGAGCCAGGGATTGAAAACCTATCTGAAGAACTAATGACTGAAAACTTCCATAGCCTGGCAAAGGAAATAGACATATAAGCCCAGGAAGCACAGAGTCCTAAACAAGATGAACCCAAAGAGGCCCACACTAAGACACATCATAACTAAAATGCCAAAGGTTAAAGACAAAGAGAGACTCTAAACAGAAGCAAGAGAAAGACAGATAGTTACCTAACTATAAGACTGTCAGCTGATTTCTTAACAGAAACATTTCAGGCCAGAAAGGATAAGCATAATGTATTCAAAGTGATGAAAAGCAAGGGACGACAACCAATATTATTCTACCCAGCAAAGCTATCATTTAGAATCAAAGGACAGATAAAGAGCTTCCCAAACAAGAAAAAGTTAAAGAAATTCATCACTACCAAACCAGTGTTACAAGAAATGTTAAAGGGATGTCTTTAAGAAGAAAGGAAAAAAGATCAAAATCATGAATAATAAAATGTCAACAAGTACATATCTACCAACAATTACTTTAAAAGTAAATGGAGTAAATGCTCCAATCAAAAGACATAGGGTAGCTGAGTGGATAAGTAACCAAGACCCTTACAATCGCTGCCTAAAGAGACTCACTTCAGATGGAAAGACACACAGAGACAGAAAATAAAGAGATGGAAAAATAAATTTTTTAAAAATGGAAATTAAAACAAACAAACAGCTGGGGTAGCAACACTTATACCAGACAAAATAGACTTTAAAACAAAGGTTATAACAAGAGACAAAGAAAAACCCAGAAATTTCACTTCTTGGTATTTATCCAAAGAAATTCAAAGCACTAATTCAAAAAGACAGAAAAATCCTTATGTTCACTGCAGCATTATTTACAATAGCCAAGATACAGAAGCAACTTAAGTATCCACCATAGATGAATGTATAAAAAAGAAAGGAAGGGTACATATATACAACGAAATATTACTCAGCCATAAAAATGAATGAAATCTTGACATCTGCAACAACATGGATGGACCTAGAGCATATTATGCTAAGTAAAATAAGTCAGCCACAGAAAGACAAATACCTTATGATTTTACTTATATGTGAAATTTAAAAAACAAAATAAATGAACAAATGAAACAAACAAATTCATAGATACAGAGAACATTTTGATGGCTATCAGATGGAGGGAGGTTAGAAGAATGGGTAAAAAAGGGTAAGAGATTCAGAAGTACAAATTGCTAGTTACAAAACAGTCAATAAAAAGCATAAGCTCAGGTGAGGATTTAAAATAATAATAAATAATATTGTAATAACTATGTATCATGTCAGATGGGTACTAGATTTATTGTGGTGATCACCTTGTAAGTTATATAAATGTCTAATTACTATGTTGTACACCTGAAACTAACAATATTTTATGTCAAATGTAATTGAGAAATAAATAATTATCAATAAAAATAATTTTTAAAATGCAAGATAGTGATATCTGTTGGGAAATTCATCTGATAGTTCCTTGAAGAACTTACATATCACATCTCACAGAAATAGAACCCAACATTTTCTTATGAAAAAAACAAAACAAAACAAAAATCAATGCTTTAGCAGGGGTCCTCAAACTACGGCCCTCGGGCCACATGCTGCCCGCCGAAAACATTTATCCGGCCCGCCGGGTGTTTTTGACACCGCTGCCTGTTGCCTAGCAGCCGACTCGTTTCTTTTTAAACTATAGTCTGGCCCTACAACAGTCTGAGGGACAGTGAACTGGCCCCTGTTTAAAAAGTTTGAGGACCCCTGCTTTATAGTTTACCACTACAATATAACTAGCTTATTTCTACGTTTCAAGACCAACAAGAAAAATATTAGACAAGGGAATTATAGACATTAGTAAAAGGGACACTAGATATTAAATAGTTAAAGTCCACTGTTTTATAAATGAGTAAACTGAAATAGAGAAGTTATAAATAATTCATATAGCTAATCTATTTTTTAATGGAACAAAGTCTGGAGCTTCTAATTAAGTAAGCTTAACTAAATGCAAATTGAGGTAAGAGGCCATCCATCTTACTCAACTTTATATGTTATCAGAAAATGGGTTCTTGTATGTGCCCTGACTGGGGATCAAACCTTCAACCTTGGCATATTGGGATGATGCTCTGACCAACTAAGCTAACCAGCTAGGGTGCAATATACAGATCATGTATCATAAAAATGTACACTTGAAACTTATAAGATCCTATTAACTAATGTCCCAATAAATGTAATTTAAAAAGAAAAATGGAAACCAGAATAAAGAATAAACTATGTAAGATGCTCATGTTCTCACAGGAACAAAAGAGAAAGAGGGGTGAGGGGAATCCCCTGCTAATTTAAACTATAATCACATCATCAAGTACCCATACTATTGATGAATATGTCTAATAATATCAAGTATTGTCAAGAATGCATAACAACAAAGCACTTATACAATACTAGAAGAACTGTAAATTGGTACGACCTCTTCCGAAAACAGATCAGCATTACCTAGTACCTAGTAAAGCTAAACATGCAAGTACCCTAGGACAATGTTATTCAACTCCTAGTTATGTCCTAGAGAAATTATAAAAGCTTATAGCAGCACTGTTTGTAACAGTAAGAAAACTACAATGTAAACGTCCATTAATCGTAGAATGTATAAATAAACTGTGGTTTATTTGTGCATGGAACATTACACAGCAATGAAAATTAATGACTACAGTAGATATAATGCCAATGGTGATCTTAGAAATGTTGAATTGGTTTTTTTTTTAAATTAAGTCACAGAAGACTATAAACACCATCATTCTATTTTTAGTTCAAAAACATGCAAGACTAAACAATAAATTGTCTAAAGACAAAAATATGTGGCAAAACAAAAATATAATATTATTTTAAAAATTCAAAATGGTAGTTATAGAGAGAAAACAGGA